TTATGTATTCTCTTAAACATTTTACATTGCATTTAGAACAGCCTCTACGAAAAATTAACACCTTACTTAGCTATCCTCAAATTCGCAATTCTTGCTATATTTTTCATATTCGAAATTTGCTCTAATTTCTTCCATAAATCGTCATTGCACCCCAGACCGACGTACTCCTCTCTCGAATGACGGTGTGACGCTCTAGCTTTGTAATTGTTGGACAAGATTTTTTTTATCAATTGAAACTATAAAAGCCAAAGTTCCCCGGATATGATAACATTTTTAACTTTTATATTAATTTTATTCGCCCATCAATCCTCTTTCTAGGATTTCTTCAAATTTAATATTTTCTGTAGTTGAGACAATAGCTAAATATTTGACCCATATTCGCTTTTTGATTTCTGGAAATATATTTTAAATGCTTTTTACGGAAATTCCAATTATTTTCTCTAGACTTGCTGCACCTATTAAAGGGAATCGGATAAATTAGCAGACTTTTCCTGTTGTTCTATAAAACGCTGGACAAAAAAGGAAACTTCGCAAAGTTTGGTTTTTGTCTTTTTCGCCAATATTTTTCAGTAGTTCAAATTAGGCAAAAACAAAGCTTCTGTTGGTCCTGTCCTCTCACCGCTGCTGGCTGAAAGACTGAATATGACCCGAGGGCAAGGTAGTTGTTGAAGTAAAAGAATGAAGTTCTTCTTACCGTTGCCGGAAAGAAAATGTATTACAAAAAGGTTTACGATTACAAACAAATATATGCGTGACTTGTACTTGAAAATTCTCACACAAGTTGGTCGATGTATGAATGGCAGAACAGGTGCTGATATTAATGGATCTGGAATCAAACATGCAATTCCAATGGATAGAAGACCTACGCCATTACCAATTTAGCTTTGACAAAAATTAAAGGGTGATTTTCAGTTAGTTTGTTAGATAACAGCCGTCCGCCACACTCATCCAACAGGTGGATCATAAATAAAAATAAAATTTTGGCAGCAAGAAACATGTGAACACTCTACTGGAGGCCAGTCTCGAAGGCAAAGTGTTTGCCGACTAGTTGGCACGATCGTCAACTTTCTTTTTGAGGTTTGTTCTTTTTAAAGCATCTACAGGGGGAGCCTTTAAAATAAGGCATTCGCCTTTCAAAGCCCTTTTTATAATTTATTAAGGAAGCTGAAGGTATCTTTGGCTTAGGGGTTATGTACTCTCTTTCGGGATACCAAAGATTTTCTACACCCAAATGTTTAACTAACCAATTAACTAGCTACCAGTACATACGGCATTTGGGCTAAAATGAGTAACAAATAAATAATTTATTTTGAAACGAATTTCCGTCATCTCTTGTCAAGTTTGGTTTGGAGATAAACCGGTTCCGGTATTGTGCCATTTTCAGTTCCAAAATAAATTATCTTACCATCCAGTCGGGAAAATCAACCAAAACAATATATAATAAATAGATAATTATTTTCTAGCTACATATGTACATACAATACAGCTGCGATCAATAAAGTAGAAGAAAATTCAAAATGATATTTGCAACTTATGTTTATTTATTTATTTTTTATAAGTTTCATTGAAAATATAGTTTGATCAGAGCTACTAGAACATTTTAGAGTACGCAGTTTTGTAGCCTATTCCTGTTTGCTAGTTTCAAGTCACTAAAATTACCGTTGATTTTTTTAGAATTTTTTTTGTCGAGAGTTTTCAGCATTTTCTTCCATAGAACGTATGAACAAAATCTTTTTTCATATGAAAGAAAATACGAAACACCCTATAGGAAAAAATTCTAAAAAATCAAGGGTAATTTGTAGTAACTTGAAACTCGCACTTCATTATACTAAAATTGAATGGAATGGAATTTCGAATAAAAAGTTTGAAATTTTGAAGAACATTTTCTTGAAGTTTATTAATTATTATTAATTTTTGTGAACTTCGTTACTAAAATATGTCAAACAATGTATGTATATGTTACCGACCAAACCCGATCTTAGGGCAAACTAATTTTACCTAGGCTAAACTAGATCAGACGTCACGCTGTGCTTCAAAAAAATAACCCTCATCAGTCTAACTCCAGCCACGCAGTCCAAAATATTATTGCGTCCAAATTTATTCCGCGTTGGATGGATGTATCGGATCTACTTAGAACTAGTTTAGCCTAAGATCTGGTTTGGCCGGTAACATTTATAATAACTCGACCAAATGAGTTTACCAGTTATTACTTTACTTAATTAAAATCACTCATACGAAAATATTAACGCCACGCTTATATGTCTTGTGGGCGGATACTAAATTCGATCAGATTTTTATGAAATTTGGAATTTATAAAATGATGGGGATTGACACAATATCATGTCTAATAAATGAATTTTTGATCTTTACAGGCAAAAAAAGGAAATTTAACATTGGCCAACTGTATAAAAAAGAAAATACAATTAATTGAGAGCCCTTTGGTCAGATCTCAAAAAACCCAAATTTGGCAATATCTCAAAAGCTGTTTTGCTTTGTTATATTTTGAGTTCGTTTTCGGATTCAGCGGAATAACTATTTTACATTACAATTCATATAACAATGTGGCAGGGCGGAAAATTCTTTATTTCTGTAAGCTTGTCTTAAAAAAAGCACACAAAAGCCGCTTGCGTGTTACGTCACAGATCCTTTAATTGAATTCTTAAAATAATTTACAGTAATTCAATAAAATGACAGTTCTATATTTTCGCTTTCTCTATGAACAAAAACTATTTCTATTTATTTATTCGATTTATCATTGCCTAAGTATTTGATATAGCGCGCCCATTAAATATGGAATGATAAATTTGTTTTATGCTGACCTCCTCCATTCCAACATTGCTTATTGTGTTTCAGCTGCAACTATGTGAACGAGCGAGAGTTCAAAATCCGACCGAAATTACTGTAAAGCTTATTAATGAAGGTCAGGCAGACAATGTTTCATTCGAAGCCCCACATTCTTGCGCTCTCGTGTGCAACGAGTACGCGAGTAGTATTGTAACATTAAATAGTCTGTCGCGTGTCATTGAGAACGATATGAACGAAAATGAAAAGAGTGATGCTTGCGTTGGGAATAAAAAAAAAAAAAATATGTTTATACGAGCAGTAAAATGGACAATACGTGTAAGTGTGTGTGCGTGTGTGTGTGCGCCAAAGTCAAACGGAAAGGCCATCGCGCATGAAAG